CGATTCTGGGGCTTCTGCAACTGGTATGTCTTCATTATGAAGGACAGGTTGCAAAGCTGATGAAATGTTTGGATATTGCCCTGTCCATTTCTTTTTTTCTTTGTCTTGTAACAATTGGTACCACTATTCAAAAGTATTAGGTTGGTTTGCAAAAAATAATGTCGTTTTTGACGTTAAGTTGAACGTCAAAACGACATTATTTTTGCACCAACCTAATAACTATCAGTCGCATAATCGATTAGGTGCCTCCAACTCATAGACACTGTAAAAGGCATAGGTTTTCTCTTTCCAGTTAGTCATTGAAATTTAGTGCAGAGGTATTAAAACATATGTATGATACCCACTTCTTCACTTAGTCTCCAATTTTGCATCCAAAATATAGTTGATAAGCTTTTCTCACAACTTTGTTCAGACATTCACGGGGTCATTTTTCACAGGTTACTTAAATGTGAAAATGGAGGATAATGATTAGTTTATTTCGTGACGTACGGTCTCTATTAATAATTATGCATAACTCAAAACTTCAATGTTAAAATAAAAAAAGTATTTACTTAGAACTGCAAATAAATACTTAACAAGAACAAAGAAATAAAATTCAACCAAAGATAATTAACAATTTGAATGAATACCTTGTTAGTAGCGCGGCTCGACTTAACGTCCGGTAAATCCTAAATCAAAAGCCATCGACGCACAATAATTCACACTAATTCGACAGGATAGTTCCACTCAGTGGTCACTCAAGAATCACCACAGAGACAAAGCTATTTATACACCTGGCGGAAAACATATATTCGTAATTCCAGAGTGTCATGCTCGAACCTGGGTGTCGGTAGTTACTCATTTTCTTACTATATGACAGTTTGCAGTGCTAATCGATAAAAGTGACTCGCCTTATTCTTTGAATTTAGTTCAACTTTCGTTTCATCGGAGAAGAGAACATTCTTCCAGTCTTCTACGGTGAATTATTTTTAATAGTGAGCCCATTCAAGTCTCTGGGCTTTGTTGGCTTTGCATATTAGCGGCTTAAACCTTCGTGTATAAGATTTGTGGACTTTTTCTAACAAAATTTGTAACCTTGTTCTGACGGACTGTTGAAGAGGCAAGACGAACACCTGGCTCTTCGCTTAGACTGGCTGCAATTTCTTGGCTAGTTATAGTCCTATTCTTCGCAACTTCTCTCTTGATTACCCTGCCAGTTCTATCATCAATCTTTTTCTTTCGTCCCCTTGTTTCCTTCCTTGGAGCAGGGGTGGCATCATTATGTGCCCTAAGCACTCGAGAGACAGTTGATTGCGAGGATTTAGCAATTTCTGCAATTTCTCTCGTAGACTTGCCTGCTTTTGAGAGAGCAATAATAGATGCCTTAAGTGGTTCTGATGCGTGTTTGTACCCTTTCATCTGGTTAGTGACTTGAGTGGCTATTTCAAGCTGTTTTTATACTGTATGAGGCTTTCTGGAATATTATGGAATATTCTAGATTTAATTTAAGCTGTTCGAGAATTCTCTAGAATATTGTTTTGAAAAAAAAAAGAAGCCATTTGATGAAATATTCATTAAAATCTAGTACAGTATCTTGAAATCTAGAGCCAATCTACTATTTTGGGTAACATTTTTATTTCCAGTGCCCAAAAATTAATTACGATTTGCTATTTTTAATTTTGAAGGTTTTATGTTTAGGTCAGTGTAATTTAGCTATTGTCAAGGTGGATAATTTTCGTGGTAATAAGAATTTGTAATATATTTATTATTTTTATTCTATACTGTATTTTGTGAGAGATATTTTTTAATAGTAATTTCATGTTTATTTAGTTTCTATTCTGGGAATGTTTGCATTTTTTTTTAATAAGTAATTCTAATTAACGTTTTCAAATATTTTTGACAACTAAATGGTCTCATTATCTGTGTTGTCTACGATGATTTCTCTAATTGCAAAGGGATATTGGGTATTTATATTTAAGGGTTTTCTTATTACTTGCATAAGATTAGTCGTGTGCCCAATGTATTCTGCTTTGATTTTAGTTTTAATTTTAACAACAGTTTCGCAATCCTGCGGAAGACAGATTAATTTCTTAATGAGATTGATGGTCTGGATTGTGGATTTCAGACGCGTCGTGATGTTGTTGCTTATCAAGTTGGAAGGTTACAATTTTCTCTAATATCTGGTGATGTGATTTGCAGCCTTTACACGAAAGTCTGGAGGGTATGATACGTCGCATGGCGAATTCATCTTGTTTGTATTTTTATGCATTTGTTTGAAGAGGAAAATATTAGTGTTATGTTGCGTTTTTCCAGTATATATGATGACTATTTTCCTTCATATGAACAGTTTTATTCGACAGTCCATAAAGTAGTCTAGGAAATTATAATTATAGAAGAATGTTCGTTTGTGTTCGGTGAAAATAGTTTCTGGGCGAAAATTTTGTCTGCTCAATTGAGAAAGTTGTTTTTTTTATAATGTTATCTTACATCGCAGTAGACATTTGCTTTTAGAATTGAAAAGTCATGATTTTTGGTTAGTGACTTTTTTATTTATATAAAAAGATGTTAAATAATTGTTGAACTCTACGTAAACATCTTCAGATGAAAATTTGTTGTTATCAGTAATGTCATATATGAATGTTATTACTGAATTTTTTTTCGAAGCTGGATTTTAAGTTTTAAATTTAATGTTTTTGTGCTTATATAACAATGACGTCGAGGCACCTCGGCATAGTGTGGTTGTTAGCAAGCTTGTCTCGCTAGAATCATTACAGCTGAGTAGTGAGATCAATCCTCACTGGGCGCCCCATGCTCTCAATCATGTGCCTTATCTGATCTGCGCTTAGAAAATCTTTGGGCACCTCGAGACGGTGTAAAGCTTAGCAAGCTTGTTTTGTTAAAACTATTACGACCGAGTAGTGAGTTCGAACCTTACTTGATGCCCCATACTTTCGACCTTTTGCCACATCTAAGATACACTTGGAAAATCACTATAAAAGTGATGTCGACATACGATATGTATTCTTTTGGTTTTCTCATTTTTAAAACACATTTTTCTTCGACGTTTCTCATATAATATTTGAAGAACGTAGGACTTAAGGAATTATCCCTACAGTTCATTTCTCTGCAGATATTCCCTTAATGGTCCAAGAAAAGGGTATTGGCTGCTCATACATGAAAAAATTATCGTAGAGTTTCGAGGATGAAGGATTGAAGTGCTTTTATACACAGTGACAAATTATATTGTTCAGCGACTAATGAAGTTAGTATGCTATATATATAGTTAGTGTTGCACTCTTTTATATATATATGACGATGATAGAAATTATATTGATGTAAATTAGATGATGTTGATGTAAATTTTGATTTAATTTCAATGTATTTCCCTAGCTGTCACTTATATTTTCCCCACCTATCCCTGCTCATTGTGCTGAGACCTTGCCTCTGTTATTTCTTTCCCCAACTCCTCCCTCCTCAATACCGTAAATCCTCAGACACACATTTCTTGGTCAAGTAATTTAGACACTTACTTCCTTTTCTATTCTTCTTCTTCTTCTTCTTCTTCTTCTTCTTCTTCTTCTTCTTCTTCTAATTTTTAATAAACTGTCTGGACAAATTTAAACCATTTTGTAATTTCGGTCTGATGAGGCAGATATTAAAATATTTATCTGTCGACATAAATTTCCTACTGAATTCTGCGATGAAGTGTTAATTTTTTTCATTCTTTATATCTATATCTATATATATCTATATATATATATATATATATATATATATATATGTGTGTGTTTGTGTGTGTGTGTGTGTGTGTGTGTGTGTGTGTGTGTGTGTTAAAACATATATTGTTAAATATAACAGACAAAGAATGTCTATTATGTCTGATCACGAGATGTTCTAATGTATGTATGTTTGCTTTAATTTCAGGTGAAAATGAAGACAAAAACTGATCAACATTTGTATAATTTTATCAAGCTGTTCCTTGAGATAAGCTTTCGGCTCAAATGAGTCATCTTCAGAGTGGTTATGCGAACATTTAAACAAAGATATTCCCCATCAATGATGATATTCAGTTATGCGGACATAGAAGATTTCTGGTCGTAAATTCATGATGCGGTTCTATGACGTCGTACCACTTGAGAGACCGAAATATTAACTACAGTCCCATATGTCTAGATGTCTAGATGCAATACAATGTGTTGTGACTGGATTGAAATATAATATAATGTAATATATATATATATATATATATATATATATATATATATATATATATATATATAAAAAAGAAGAGAGGTGCTGCAAACGTTTTTGGTTGTAATGTGGATTTATTTAGAAAAAAAATATTATGCTTTGTTTTACATAATTTTACTACACAGGTTTCTGGTCTCACGACAGTCTTCAGGTAAAAGCGGAGATTTCCACATATTATTAAAAATAATGAATTTTTTCCTTATGTTCGATGTTAAATATTCTCGATATGAGACATTCTCTGTTTGTGTGTTGGTAATCCGAATTTCTTTCTTGAATTCAAGAAAGAAATTTTTAATATACATACTTTTCTCTCGTTGGAACCACTACAACATATTTCTTTTATATATATATATATATATATATATATATATATATATATATATATTAATACCCATCACTTCAGAAGTCCGCGTTGCTTTTCACGGCAAATGTGCTTTATGTCAGTTGTCACCAAACTTGGTGAAGAACGATCTGGAGGAATTCGCTGGTAGAAGTGTGGCTGTAATGGTTGGGTATGTATAGGGAAATTATAAAATTACGGATTTTTGATAGGGGCTAACAGGTTCAGAGTAATACTAATGGAAGGGCACACGTTTCTGAGAACACCTGCCTGCTAATCCCTTATGCAGATCCCTGCACCTACCAGTAGTTTGTATCTCAACTATGCTGGACAGACAGTAGTTACGCTTTCTTGGAAACTGTGTATGATTATGGCGTGATAAATAGTTTGAACAACGCGAGTACACTTAAGACATCGCTCATGATGTGCTTACGGCCGCATCATCTTGAAACACCGGTCCCCGTACGATCACCAAAGTTAAGCAACGTCGAGCTTGGTCAGTACCTACATGTGTGACCAGTCGGGAATACCTGCTACTGTAAGCTTGGATGTGCAGGTGGTTTAATGTATAATGGTTCGAAATTTGTAATACTAATGTAAGAATCTGCCCCGGTTGTCCAACCCAGACAAGGTTAATTAGTAAGTCTCGTATTACTAAATCATTATTATTTCAAAAAGATTATTACAATCTAAAATATTTTCTGGCTGTAAATAAGTTTTGTTAAGCAGTAGAAAAAATTATGAGTCAATTAATCAGATATGATGATTTGTCAATTTGTGCTAGCAAAAGAATTAATAGCTTCTGGATAGTTCCGTCTACTGAGTTCCCCATGCAAGAATTGGGTCCACCTGTGGTAGGAAAAAAGTCAAAATAAGCAAAATTATACTCAAAGATGAAAGAGAAATGATAGGCAAAAGGAACAAAGATGAATAAAAGAAGAAGGAAGGAAGGGAGGAAGGAAGGAAGGAAGGAAGGAAGGAAGGAAGGAAGGAAGGAAGGAAGGGAGGGAAGGAGTTGAAGGAAGCGTGGAAGAGAGCAATGAAGGAGGGGAGCAAGGAAGGAAGGAAGGAAGGGAGCAAGGAAGGGAGCAAGGAAGGAAGGAAGGAAGGAAGGAAGGGAGGGGGAGGGAGGGATTAAGGAAGGAAGGAAGGAGGGAGGAAGGAAGGAAGGAAGGAAGGAAGGAAGGAAGGGAGCAAGGAAGGGAGCAAGGAAGGGAGCGAGGAAGGAAGGAAGGAAGCAAGGAAGGGAGCAAGGAAGGGAGCGAGGAAGGAAGGAAGGAAGGAAGAAAGGAAGGAAGGAAGGAAGGAGCAAGGAAGGAAGGAAGGAAGGAAGGAAGGGAAGAGAAGGAAGGGAGCAAGGAAGGAAGGAAGGAAGGAAGGAAGGGAGCAAGGAAGGGAGCAAGGAAGGAAGGAAGGGAGGGGAGGAGTTGAAGGAAGCGTGGAAGAGAGCAAGGAAGGAGGGGAGCAAGGAAGGAAGGAAGGAAGGAAAGGAAGGAAGGAAGGAAGAGAGCAAGGAAGGGAGCAAGGAAGGAAGGAAGGAAGGGAGGGAAGGGAGGAAGGAAGGAAGGAAGGAAGGAAGGACGGGAGGAAGAAAGGGAGAGAGGAAGGGAGCAAGGAAGGAAGGAAGGAAGAGAGGAAGGGAGCAAGGAAGGAAGGAAGGAAGGGAGGAAGAAGGAAGGAAGCAAGCGAGGAAGGAAGGAAGGAAGGGGGAAAGGAAGAAAGGGAAGGACGGGAGGAAGAAAGGGAGAGGAAGGGAGCAAGGAAGGAAGGAAGGAAGAGAGGAAGGGAAGGAAGGAAGGAAGGAAGAGGGAAGGGAGGAAGGGGAAGGAAGGAAGGAAGGAAGGAAGGAAGGAAGGAGGAAGGAAGGAAGGAAAGGAAGGAAGGAAGGAAGGGAGGAAGGAAGGGAGAGAGGAAGGGAGGGAGGGAGGAAGGATGTAAGGAAGAAAGTAAAACAAGAAGGAAGGAGGAAAGAAAACAAGAAGGAAGGGGGAAAGAAAGAAAGAAAGAAAGAAAGAAAGAAAGAAAATCAAGGAGAAAGGAGGACAGAAAATTAAGAAAAAACGAAATTATGTTTTGTCACAAAAATGTATAAATACTGAAGAGAGAAAATAAACGAAAAATGATTTATGTCAAAGAAAGAATATAAAAGTGGAATGGTAAAAGCGAAACAGAAAGGAAAACATGAATGAAAAACGCGTACGAAGAAATGCTGCTCACGGAAATATCATTTCCGTTCTGAAATGAAAAGACAACGCCTCAATTTTCTGATTAGTTCACCATATCACGAGCTCGAATTCGAAATTTTCTTCTGGTATTGTTCGATTCTCCTGTGATTTTTTTTATTATATTTACTCAATTTCACACCTGTTTGACCTGATGGTTCTCACTGGATATCAAGCAAAATCAAGTCTCTTCTATTAACCAGCATTTTTCTCATATATTTTGTAATCATTTCACCTTAAGCAAGGCAGTAAGTCCACTAAGACACAATGGGTTAGTGAGTTTTAAAGAATAAGAAAAGGAGAAACGATATTAAGGAGCGAGAACAATGCAAGAAGAGTAATTATCAAGACAGTAGATTTCAATCGATTGCCATTCATTTAAATTTTTGAAGATCAAAGTTATCCGGAAAACATGAAAACGGAAGAGAGTTCGACAAACGATAAGTGCGATAGAAGAAACTGTTAGCATAGAACTTACGGTTGCATCTAACCAATTCTATTGTAAATTTATAAGAATTTTCCGCCATTCTAGTACTGCGTTTAGGCTAATAAAGTCTAGGTATCATAGAGGAACGTTCATCAGAACAATTACCATGGAAGCTGCATTACAACATTAGGAACGTGACTTAAGCCGAGATGCTAAGTCAGGACCAATAGCATTGCGGATTATTCTTTGGATTTTATTAAGAATTTCTAAATATATAGCAGGAATAGTCAACTCTATGGGAGAGCAATATTCAAAGCATGGACGAGTGGTAGATCTATGAATATGTAAGATAAATTCTGGAGAGAAAATTGTCTAGCAAGACACAACAAATCTACTTTCGTCGCAACTTTTTGACCCTGAAAACTGTTCCAAGCACGCCGATATCGATCAGTGAATTATTCACCTCTATAGTCTGGCTATTTATGCAACAATAAAAGTTCATAGCACTTGGAACTCGAAAAAAATAAGTTGTCAACGTGTTGACCTTCCATACTATTTCAAAATAAATGATAGGAAGAATGGTAAGTCTAATGGTGATGTTAGCCGTTTCATTATAAGAAAATATTCGACTTTCATTGTTTGAACAGCTAGTGCTGCTATCGATTGAAATTTATAAAATCTTTCTCTTAAAACCATTTTTCAAGAAAGAAGGTTTTCTCAAGTACAGTAGCTATCATCGCACTTTGCATCGTTTGTTTGAAACAGTGGGGAGTATCAACATTTTGATTATGTCATTATTTTTCTCTTTTGTGTTACATGTGATATCCATGTTAGTATTTACTGCTGTTGAAACACCTCAAGTGATGTGGTTTCTATTATTTGGCACCGTTTGTGATTTCCTTGCGTTTGTTCTCAAGGCTCGAAGAAGCCTGTTCTTCGTCAAGTCGCACAGGCTTCACTCGTTCAAATCAAGGCTTTAGATTTTAGAAAACTGTTGTAATCAGCAGACATGTGAAATATTTCCGAACAGATCTGGTACTGTGCCTACATCCATATGAAATTCTTGTTCAAATTCATTTTAAAATTTTTTCAGATTTTGAAAATTTGCAGTTTGGGAGAACTAATCAGCTGTTCCACATGTTTATTATTATTATAACTGATCTATAGACCGAGGTGTTTTTTTTTTTACTTATCTTGATTTATTTTATGATGAAGAAAGCCCCTATCAATTCTGGAAAGTTCGATAACTTGCAATGGACTTAACAAACCTATTCCCCACCCAAATATTTTAACAAAATGATTGTATGTATTTTATTCAACATTAACGCTGGTTTCTTGGTTTCAATGAAGGCGGAATGTTTCCTTATAAGAAACAGTTACCATTACCATTTCACAGACCACGTCCTTCAAGCGAAATAACCCAATAGGTCTGAAAGAAAATTATTCTTCATCAGTTCTCATAGACTGGTGCTCTAGAATCACAATTAAAGAACTTTATCATAATAACAGATTTTACTTCACTTGAGGATTTTCAACACCAAAAACAACTAAATAGCACATGAATCTCAAAGAGAAAATAATGTCATATTCAAAATATTGACTTTCCACACTACATGGAACAAAAAGATAGGAAAGAAACCCCAATGAATACTGGAAAGAGAGATAACATTTGACTTGAGAAATATATTTTTTCTGAAAAAAAAAAAAAAGATTTTAATAGAAAGATTTTTTTTAAAATTTCAACCGACAGTAGCAATGGCTGCTCGGTCAAGAAAGGATGAATGTTTCCTTAAACAGTAACGATTAATGTTACAATTACCATCAGAGATGGTAAGAACATATACTACACTTTGTTTCAAGTCTGATGAATGTAGCGATATGAGTCAAGCTGATGTCATGTTACATTTAAAACAACTCGATACGGAACATTTACTTTCGACCGCTAGCTATCAGTAATTGGAGTCAAGTTCAAAGTACAAGAGCAAGAGGCTCAGACTGAGAGAAAGTGACGAAAGGAACGAAGCGGGCCTCGCCGAAGGACGGACAGCGACGAAGGCCGCTGAAATGTGCATCTCTCCCCTCACTTACGTCTCATCTCTACTTCGCTCGATTATAGCAGTAAGTTACTAAAAATAAAATCTGGTTTGCTGTTAGAAATTGTTTTGTACACTCGAGCTAGGAACAAAAATTGCCCGCAGCCCACTCAACCGTTGGCCTCGATGTGAGCACCGATCCCTCTCTCTGGTGCAATGAAACGACCTGGCCTCGGGCAGCTGCTCCCCAGGGCTGAGCACCTCTCAGTATAATGCGACATTGTCCTTTGACGGAGTCGCCCCTGAGTGCACTCTGCCTAAAGACAGAGACGCTTCTGAGAGATAATAAATAATTTATTACAATCTCCGCGAGAGGAATTGACCTCAGTACAATGACACTAATGGCTTACAGAAATCATGATCGTGAATCTGTCTCAGGTATATTACGAGCATTTTATATTAGTTCGATTTGAACCTTGCTTTCTTTCGCACATGTAAATGATTTTTTTTTGTCTATAACAACTAGTTTTGGATTACTAGTTCGGAATATGAAGTGAATGATGCTAGTTCGCCACAATGTGCTTGGTACGGCGAGTCCTATCCGTGAATATATGTACTGGTGGAAATAAAGAGAGTAGTTCGTCTGAACATTTTCCATGGAAATAGCGACAGAGCAGCGAGTCCTTGCGAACATTCGTCTGTGTGAAAAGGGTTGTTGGATAGAAAATTATTTATCACCCATAACGATACGGAGATTCATTGGTCTCTACTGAGACTGGGCAAGACCTGTCCATATATACTCCATTCTCGACCTGATATGGTTCTTGTTGATGGAGAGTATAGCAGGCAGAACCAGGTTCT